ATATTTTCATTCGGTGAAAGATGGAATGTTCCATTCAACTCGGCTGTCGCCTCGTTGAATGGAACATTCCATCTTTCACCTCATGAAAATATTCTTACCATTGCACTCATAAACATTCATTATTTGTATAATATATATCAACACGAGTGGAAATTGGGAAAACGAGAAATTGTGTGGAAACACGAAAAATTTCGAGTTTTCCCAATTTCCACGAGTGTTGATATTTAACAAATATAAAACATTTTTCGTGTTGATATACAGAAATATCAACACGAGTGGAAATTGGGAAAACGAGAAATTGTATGGAAACACAACGCCCGAAGGGCGGAGTGTTTTCATACAATTTCGAGTTTTCCCAACTTCCACGAGTGTTGATATAACTATATATCAATACGGAAAAAATGTTTTATATTTTTTTTATAATATAGCAATGTCAAAAGCCCGAAGGATAAGAAAAATTTCCGTGTTTACAAGCGGCGGAAAATTTCCCGTGTTGACATCGAGTTATATCAACACGGCTCTTCGCCAATCAGCGTTCAGAATTTACAAATGCTATATTATAAAACTATATATCAATACAGAAAAAATTGTTTTATATTTGTTTTATAATATAGCACAAAGAAACATAAAGAAAGAAATTTTCCGACGTTTCCGTGTTGACATCGAGTTATATCAACACGGCTCTTAGCCAATCAGCGTTCAGAATTTACAAATGCTATATTATAATTATATTAATTGCAATGTAAGGCCATTAATATTAAAGTCCCAAAGTATAGATTACTTGATTTAAATTATTTTTATCATAGACCCTCCACCATCATTGCCATTTGAAATAAAAAGATCAAGAACAAACAATCTGCCAGTTTATGTTGATAAGAAGCGTGGAGGAAGTTTAGTTCTTACAGTGATCAGAAATATCAAGGGAGATTTGAATGTAAGTGTGATTATTAAAAGGGCTGTCAGTGAATAAATTTCATCCCCTCTTACACCATCTCAGAACAGACAATTTGAAGAGAAAAGACAGTTTTCATCCTAGTTATTTTGTAATCTCAGATTTTTTGCTATCCACCCTCTCACACTGCAGAACAAGTCTGCTACTGTGGGTTAAAATCTAGTGTTGTCTACTGCTATCATATCTTTGTCTATCTGGTGTAACACAAGAGCAATATCTGCACCACACTACATTCATCAAGCCTTCTGATTACAATCTAACTCACCTGTCAACAACACCTTTTTGATGAATAACATTGTAAAGTAAGACACACTCGAGTGCATTTCAGTTTAACTTTTGGACGATAACCAAGCTCCACACCATGCATTCTATGAAATAAACTTTATTTGCTTTCTAGGAACTTGTGAGATTTTTAAAAGAAAATTTAGGAGAGGACGTTCATTTTCAAACAAATGAAGTAACAAGTCAAGTAAAGATAAAAGGTTATCATAAAGAAGCTGTTGTAAGATTGTTGAAAGAACATGGATTTTAGTGAATTTGTTTCTCATATCAATAAAAACACACTAGATATTTTTTGGATTATTTATTAAAATGAAAGTAGCTCAATTAGCCATTACACACTGCAACTATATGCAAGAAATATACAATTAAAATTACAAACTATTCAAAAAGTATTTACTACAATAGAGATAACAACTTTAACAACCTTTATCAATCCTATGTGTACTGTAGTTGTCAAGAATCACATCAAACATTTTGATTCAATTTTGTAGTTTCCTGAACACCAGGTTATCACAGTAAATAAAGTTTCACAATCACACTTTAAAGTCAATTTAAGTTTAAGTTCAATCACATTTTATTTCTAATACAGATGAACAAATGATAGATGACAGTAGACAGAAAATAGAACTTTTTAAAGAATATAAGGCTAGAACAATGTCCTATGTATTGCATTGTATTGCAAATATACAACAGTACAAGTTTTGTACATGGATTAAGAGTTGATGAATGTGTAGGATTTGAGACTATCTTAAGTAATAAACTTCCTTAAGACAAGTTGCCAGCAAAGTAAACATGTATACAATATTGTTACAATAAATTTATTACATCCAGGGAGAAATCTAACTATATATATACTAGTCCGATAAACATTAATGTAGAGGATGTCCAGTACATTAATATGAACTACAGTGGTCTGGTAAACTTAAAGATATACAGCAAACAAAAAGTTGATGTCTAAGCGTAAGAGGTGCCAGTGCGCTTAGGTTTCCAGGTGACTTCCTCAATGCGGATCTGTCGCACTCGCTTGTAGTAGATGAAACTGTCGATGAAAAATAATATGACCAACACGAAACCAAGAATCTGAAATGTAATTGGTTGATAATAGTGCTAATTAGCAACACAATTCAGGGAATATGTTTGAAAAAAGAATGTCAGCAGTCAGCTTGACTATATATCCTAGTTTTTGTGATCTGCACTTCCCCCATGGAGGAAATTTTGGCCATCTGCAGGGAAGAAAAATTTGTTTTTGATAAAAGTGTATTAGGATGTCCAAAGGGAGTAAGCGGGTTAACTTTCAATTTCCTCTGTGGGGGAGGTATGGATGTTTTCTGGAATGACCCAATTAATTTCTTAGACTGGTTGATGTTCAGGGGCGACTACAGACTAAATCTGATTATAATCTTCTTGAGTAAATCATTTCAAGTAATGTAGGTTGGGTAAAGTAATTTAGGTTGGGTATATTACTAAATTACTTACCACACAGAGAATGAGGAAGCCATCAGCCAAATCATATGCCCATTGAGCCAAGAGTGCTGATCCAAAGAAGAAGAGAAACATGAATGAGAGGGAATAGCTGAGCATGAACACAAACAAGGAGTATTCTCTCTGCCAGTTTCCATACACCTTGCCAGCACACAAACCAACAGCATGAAGTATCAAGATAATCAGCAATGAGCACCAACATAGACCTGACACAATTATGTAGAAACCATATCGTGAAAATAAGCTCCAATCGTCAAAATTCAGAATCAAAACAAATGCCAGGATGGACACGATCTAGAAATACATACAAATGTAAAATTTTAAAATTTCATCACAGCCCAATTTAAACTAGAGGCGGACGATCTGTCTGAACTGAAGGAACTTTGGTAAAGAAACGTAGTTTGTAGGGTAGTTTGTGTGTGTAACAGGCGGATCACCTGTCGAAATGAACCACACAATTATGTATGCCATCTACTCAGATGAACACGTGTGTGTAAGATCCATCTATGTGTATAAATACAACAAATGATTTCAGAAATTAGGTACTGAACAAAGTACTTTGCTAGCTGAATTTTTATACAAAGAAGCTATCATTACAATACCAATGGCAGCATCTATCATCATGTAAAACATCACAAGCAGACTTACAAATTCTAAGATCTTAATGAGACCTTCCAAACTAATAAAATATTCCAACCAACGCGTTGAACCAGCCATAAGGACCCTAACAATCATAAGAAAAAATTAGTGTTGGTATAAAAAGATAAACAAATGACTTTTATATTGCGTTGTGGGCAAAAGATGATTAATTTTGTTTTAAATATTTAGTTAAAAAATAAAAGGTTTGCAGGGTCTTTTTCTAGCACAACACAACATAACTTAAATTTAGTAATCTAGACTTCGACAGTAAGAGTACATTGAAGACTACGATGCGAACGTTATCGAAATATAAACACATTCCATTCTCGAATCAAAATGTAACAAATTTTTACCAAGAATTTCTGCCTATTTTGAAGCAGAAATATTAATTTATACACACAATAAATATGGAATATTAACAATCGAAACATACTCACGTCGCAAATTCCCCTTTTTGGCTGTTTCAGAAGTTATAAATGAAAACTCAAAACAATTTTTTCACATATAAACTTTTAGATTCTCACAATCGGAATGTTGTAAAAACTGCCTCGCTTCAGTGCTTCGCCTGAGAACCTTTGCCTGGTTTTAGGGTTCTCCCCGGGTTTGCAGGCTGTATGTTTTAAATATTTTTTATTTCATTTTGACGTTTCATGATTTTTAATTTCTTTGTCCATAAAATATGAATTAAATCTTTTTAGACGTTATTCTTTTAACTTTGGGCCACAATGTCTTCAGAAGAAAATAAGAGTATGTATATCAGAATATAGATAATATGTAGTGTTTTTAAATACATCAGTTTTTAGAATTAATATAATTATATATAGCAAATATTAATATTACTAATATATAAAGTATGATGTCATATTCTGCCATTGCAGTGAATTGATAATATACCAAATGCCTGTTTGCATTACATGTAATACACATTTTGGATAAAGTCATATTTTCATTTGGCATTTTCTGCAATACACAGAATTATTTTAACGAGAGGAAATTGAAAGTGATAAATCATAAATGTACCTCCCACACACTTAAGGCTTCCTGTTTTGTGAAGCCTTGCTATTTATAATAAGCAAGAAGCTGTAGATGTTGTAGACAACCATCTTGTCGGTATTGTAATACCAAGTACATGCAGCAACCGATTCAAAATTATTTAAAGGTAGCTGGGTACATGCAATCTGTATGTAAACAAAGCCTTTACATTTCAGAATTCAAAATATTGAACTTTAATTTGACAACTATTTATATTTTCATGCTTCTACAGTATAATAAATGATCAAGATACAACAATCAGGCTTTGCAAGAATATAAAGTTAAATAAAAACCTAATTATAAAGTGTTTATATCACGGCAGGAGACTCCTATGTGCGCATGCGCAGACCTAGCCTGCGTGGCAGGCCTATAGGATAGCGCAGACCGGACTGTACCCTATCTTTAAGGGACTCAACCCCGCTCGCCAATGACAGCTATGATGCTGGACAAAATATCTATAGTCCTCGCAATTTTCGGCGGCAAAAGGCAAGTGTTTTGTAAACACTTTTAGTTTTGTGACTTATTTTAAAATACATCTAAAGTTATGATATACTTCTTGTATAAACTTTAAGTTCAAACATACATACAATCTTAGAACAACGTCCGTAGTGTAACAAAGTTAAAACTAACAGTGTGAAACAAGGTTTCCTTGAATATCAAACACTTTTAATTGGTAGAATCAAGAGAATACTAAATATAAAATAATACTAATACTAAATATGACAAAAAATTGCTCCCGACCTTCGTAAAATCAGCGGCAATTTTTTGCCGCCGAATATTTATCAAAATTGCAAGGACTGTATCTATGAGCAAGAAATAATCAAAGTGTTGTTTGGAATTATTTAGATGAAGGAAGTGCAGAGGATAGCACAGCTGGTGCCACTGGGGAGTCGGATGAAAAAAGTTCAAGTGATGGTACATGATGATAAACCAATTACAGTCAAATCTCTCATTATAGCAAGAGTGAAAATCTATTGCAAAAAGTGGGGTTGGGGGGTTGGAGCTGGCCAGAAACATCGTACTCCCCCACAGAGGAAATTGGATGTTAAGCCCCCTACCCCCTTTACATGTCTTAATACACTTACCAGAAATACATTTTTCTCCCCTCCCCCTATGGGCAATAGAAATTTTTCTCCATGGGGGCGTGGATCTTTTCAGCAGGAATGACCCAGTATGGATTAATTATATTATGAATGTCCCAAAAGTGAGGGGTGCATCCCCCATCCCCCTCCAGGATTTTTACCCATGCACTCATTAATACAACCACTTAATTTTCTGTTTCCTGTCATATTAGGGAGGGTCAATTGTATTGGCATTACAGCAAAGGGCCATTACCTTTAATATCCCCCACACACACACACCCACCCACCCCTAAGTGCTGATACAAAAAAAACCTCAGAAATTGGTAAATTTGTAATTTATGCTGTTGTCTATCCAGATCTTCCAAGCTTTCTTCAAGGACTTCTTGCAAGACTGGGAATAAGTAAACCTGGTGACACAGAGCAGGAGCCTGAGCACGAGCAAGTTCTTGAAGAAGTTACATTTGAGGGAATTGCAAAATATATCCAGACTGAGAAATGTACGAAATATGGAAATAATCAATAAATTGTGAATTATGACATAATTGTACATTTTGAAGCATGTTTACATCTAGAACACTAGCAGTATGCTCCCTTCTCTTGCAAACCAATTTTATTACTTTCTTTTTATACTCTTGTATAATTACCATAAATCCTCACTTTATTCAAATGTAGGTACCCCTTAACCCATTAAGCTGCAATGTACCCAATATGCAGCAGACTTATTATTATACTCTGTCTAATGCCAGATAATTTTACTTGTCAAGGGAAGAGTCTTGCACATAAACCACCATGAGTCCCATTATAGCCATTCCGAAGTTGATGAGTGAACTGGGGACGAGTGTTAAAAAGTGCCCAAATTAAGAAATGAACCAAATCACCTCTATACAAAGTTTGAAGACGTTTACATGAATACCCTTCGAATAACAAGCTTTCGAAAATCGCGATATTCACTATGAAATGTACTGTAATTTGTGTTTTTGGGACGCACATCCCAAAAACAATCTTTTAATCACTAATTTCACAATTTTCGAAAGCTTATTATTTGAAGGGTATTCATGTAAACGTATTCAAATTTTGCATACTTACTAATTTTGAGGTGGTCTTTTTAGTGATTTGGTTCATTTCTTAATTTGGGCACTTTTTAACATTCGTCCCCAGTCTACTCATCAACTTCAGAATGGATAATTGTGCAACAAATGTATTTTCATATAATGCATCTTTCTTTGTTTGAGCCAAATTAATAAGCTGTTACCCCCTAGCTATTTATTTAGCCCTCCCCCTTTTCCAGTAACCCAAATAAATAGCACAGCTAGATTTCAAATTTTCCAGGTGACATGCTATAGTACTCATCTAATACTACAATGTTACCTGGAAAATTTATTAGTATTCCTACTTTTCACAGTAATTCACCATTATGTAATTTTGAAACTTTTGTGTCCCAGGTCGACGCATAGTAACAATGGCAGGTGCAGGAATTTCAACCGCTGCTGGTATTCCAGATTTCCGAAGTCCAGGCAGTGGCTTGTATGATAACCTACAGCAGTATAACCTTCCTTATCCCGAAGCAATTTTTGAAATTGGATTTTTTCATGTATGTTTGGACGTTTATGTAAATTCTAAATATACAAAGAAATATACAACGTCATGTGGAGGTCAAGGGAGAAGGACGGCTTTTATATTGTTTTATATTACCTCTTATAAATTATAATAGTCATTTAAATACGATGTGTTGACAGCCATTTTGTTTTTTTGTTGTTTTAGTTGACTTTTGTTCAAAGATTGATTCCCACTTGAGTTAAATCATGCTAAAAATTGCCTGTTAAACATCTTGTTCAAGCTATGGCAATTGACCATTTGCGTAAAAGACTAAATTTTGATCTAAACAAGTCTAGACAAAAGTTTCGTCACAGCTTGAAAGAGCATCACAAAACTAGTAATATTCCAAAGTTTCGTTGCGAAATGTTGTAAAATGTGGATAATATAGCCTTGCGAAGTTTGCAATTTTCAGTCATTTTAGATTACAAACGGGAAATTGACAGCCCCAAAGGGTATCGGGCTGTCAATTTCCCGTTTGTAATCTAAAAATTTAGTCTATTACGCAAGCTATGGCAATTTATCAATGTTTTTTGTTTAGTCAAATCCTGAACCATTTTTTAAACTGTCTAAAGAACTGTACCCTGGAAACTTCAAGGTTAGGCCAGACGTTTGTATTACTTGTTATTTAAACACTAGTACAATGTCAATGATGCTCTTTATTTGAATTTAATTTTCTTTTTCACACAACTAGCCAACAACGTCGCATTATTTTATCCGTTTACTGCATGAAAAAGGATTGCTTTTACGTCACTATACTCAGGTATGCTCTCCGAAATACACCAAGAAAGTACTTTACTTTGGTTATAGAGCCTCGTTTTCGTTATGTGACATTAGTTGAAGCCTAAAGGCTGCATTCCAGTTACGCGTTTTTCATACGCACGTAAAAGTTGAATTCGCTTAAAATTTCATGTAAGTGCAAATAACCTTAACAAATACACATTAAATCATACACAAAACTGAATGCTGTCCTTTTATAAATTTAGTTATTTCATAAGTAGGATGTAAAGCGAATTCAACTTTTACGTGCGTGTACGCACGTATGAAAAACGCGTAACTGGAATGCAGCCTTAAAGGCACGTGTTTACACTTGCAATTTTTGCTGCGATTTCTAGCAGGGCATTTTTTAACTATATAACTGGGGGGGCCAAAGCCCCCCCAGCCCCCATGGTGGCCCCCACTCAACCATTTTGGCCCCCCCAGTCAAAGTCCCTTTTCTCTAAAATATAAGCAAAACATTGAATTTAGAAGGGAGGTTTGATATTCTAGTAACTGAAATTTGCTTTGTGAATCTTATGTCCTGTCTTTTATGTTTAATAAACATCTTATTAGATTTTAAACATTTCCCAGGCAGTAGATTGCATTTCCCAGACCCTATAGAGTTTGAGTTGTTGGACAAGTTAGTGACCGCAGGGGGCAACAGGCCCTCAACCATGTGTTTTATAAGGGGGGGGGATAATTTTGGCCCCCACCAAAAAAAAACAATTTGATTTCGATACTAGAAGTTTTTGAAATCATATATACATATAATCAAATATCTGTAATCGATATTTTGATAACATTTCTCGTAATAATCCATCCTGACTCGCGGATATCGATCAAGACGATCATAGACTCACAAATCATAATGAACGAATTAATGAAAGGGCCAAACAAAAGACGTATAGAAGACTTTGAAAATGCCATTTCCGATGATTTAGAGACGCAAAATTTTCAAAATTTTTCCACTCTGTGCCAACCATGGTGGCGCTTCGTGGGAGTCGGGAACTCTAAGTTTATCAAGCTGGCTCCCTAAGTGACTGCCAAGTTGTGGTATCTACATAAACATACTATGCAAGTACTTAACTGCAGGTTCAGTCTATCTACAGCATAATGTAATGCTGTATATCCAAAAATCTGTTTCAGAAAATGCAGGGAATTGCAGTCATAGGGGTAGAAAAATACAAAAATTTTCTGGGGGAGAAAACCCCAGACCCTCTCCAGGGCCGTAGCAACCGCGCCCGGTGGTGGGGGGCTGGGGGGCTGCAGCCCCCAGTAATTTGCTAATAATCATTCATTTTTTAAAATCATGCAAACCTTTATTATTTAATCCATGACAAACTGCAAAGAATGAAGATATTACCCATACTTTCCTGCAACTTATCCAATATATTGTTAATTAAATACACCTTCGTCCATTTAGTACTACTGAATTCTAAATTTCCACATACTAAAAACGCTGTATTCTGACAATCAGAAATCTGTCAAATCTTCCCCAAAGTCCAGGAAATGGCATTTCAGAGACTCTAAATTTAAAAATTTCCTCGGGCCTTCGGCCCTCGCTTTCAGCCCCCCCCCCCAAACGAAAAGAGCTTCCTAAGGCCCTGCTCTCACCCCCCCTACTATTAAATGCGATACCACACCAAACTTTTTGTTACCAACAAACCATCTATCATTGCTCCACACTCGGTATGGTATGGTCCCTTTTTGTAGATGGCCCCCCCACTGACGAATTCTTAAAAAATGCCCTGATTTCTAGTGCGATTTTCTTCTGATGATGGATGTGAACGAGTAGACGAAGTTATGAATGTTGAGACACAGAATAGATACCGGACCAGAAGGGACACTTCTATGTGTTTTGACTGAAAGAAAACGTCCGAATTTTTTTTACGTGCAATGACGCCATCCTGGAGTGCACACGGCACTTTGTACCTATGTTTTCCTATGAAAAACCTCCGTGTGCACTCCAGGATGGCGTCATATGATGGCGTATTTTCACGTCAGCACTCGTAAAATTTGGGACAAAATATCGTCTGAGTGACACTTCTGGTCCTGTATCTATTCTGTGGTTGAGATGAGGGTCATCATCTGCAGCCCAGCAAAATGTGTATCACTTAAAAATGCATTAAACGCTTAAAAATACTTATAAAATTCGTCTCAATTTTGCTATCAAGCGAATGAGCTACACAAACAAATCGCTTGATAGCAAATTGAGACGAACTTTATAGGTATTTTTAAGCGTTTAATGCATTTTTAAGTGAATACACATTTTGCTGGGCTGCCTATGGGAACATGTACTCAGAACATTAATAGCTCATCCACTCATTCACATACATTAGAAGAAGGAAATCGCAGCAAAACTTGTAAACGACGAGCCTTAACGTCTCGACCATGAAAACGAGGCTCTGCACCTCACGTGACGTACTTTCTGGAAGGGTGTATTACGTTGCAACTTTCATAAAAAAATGACGCACGTGGTAACATGACCTTGAAGTGCGTCTGTATAAAATTTAGAACATTGACACACTGGAGCGGCTCGCTGGTGTTCCTGGAGAACAATTGGTGGAGGCTCACGGGACATTTTATACAGCACATTGTTTAAAATGTCGCAAAATGTATACACAGGATTGGATCAAAAGTGAGCAGACATGTCATCTAGATTTAGACAGACAGTGTATTACCTATGTGTATTACATGTAAAATAATAGAAAGTTGAGCTACTTTCAAGTAACAAACGATTTGATTTTAGACGAAATTCTTGCTGACAATCTTCCAACGTGTGAAAAAGATAATTGCGACGGCGTAGTAAAACCAGGTATAACAAAGTATAGAAGTTATCATTTCAAGTTTATACATTATATAACTGTTTAAAACTTTTTATTTTGAAGATATTGTATTCTTTGGTGAAAGTTTGCCCGAACGCTTCTCAAGTTGTGTTTCAAAGGTAAATACAGTACGTTGCGTATGTGCAGTATGTCACTGCAGGCCTTAAAATATCGGTCGGTCACGGACATTGTCTGACCCACTCGTGAAATTGTCCGACGTAGAGAGGAAACCACCGGACATTCCGTCCGACCAAAGTGAAACTGAGGTTTATAACGTTTATTGTTTGTCCGACCCAAGTGAATTGGTGTCCGACCGAACTATAGCTTTGTCCGACGTACTATTGTATAAAAGGTGTACTGGAAATGTTGTTTTAACGTAGTCGAGCGCGGGGCGGCGAGCGAAATGGTGAAGTGGAAAACGGGCTTAAGTTGTCGAAGTCTTTTTTAATACTGCTGTTCTGGCAAGCAAGTTAATTTTGGCTTGGAAATAAGTATGAAAGAAACAAATTATTTAATATCTTCACAACATTTACCGTTCAGAATTACCGTTCATTCTGCTGATATTCATCTCTGTCATTCAGACTTATTTCCCAGTCAAAAGTCAAAACTGAACTGAAGGTCATCGGACATATGTCCGACCCAAACTCAACGTCATCGGACATTTTGTCAGACGGTCCTGTAAAAGATATTTTAAGGCCTG